ATTGGAAAAATCGTGAAGGGGGGGGGGGGGGGGACATAATGGCCCCCCCGGCCTTATTAGGGTTGAATAATAAAATATGTTGTCACCATATTCTATATGTCATATTCAATTCTTTTCATACACATTCAAATTAAGAAGTAATCTTTTTTGACCTAGTTAACATTTCTTTTAGAAACACATTTTTATATAGATGATTATTACAAGAGATATGATAATACAAAATATAATAATTATGATCACTTTCAGATTATAGTCCTATCATTATCCGAAAGCATAATTTTACCAAGTACCATAAACTAAATTCCATGTTTTTATGTCTCTAAAAGCAATGGAGTTTTCAGTTTCAGTTTGCTATATCTTCATAATTAACACATATATTTGTGAGAGGAAAACATTGAGTCATCAGCAAAAAGAAATAATAACAGTTTACAAGAACAGATGTAAAATTCATTCTATAATGTATGAATGAATGTGGGCCCAGGAATGACCCCTATGGTACACCACCTGATACTGTTTTCATTGTGAATAGTAAGCCTGTAATTTATTGAGTACAAACGGGTACATGGTACATGCAGTTTGTTGTTTATACTAACTCTGTATTCACATGGTGCAATTCTATGTTTTGGGGATAGGGGGTACTTTGATGAAGTAGAGCTTTTTGTCCAGATGGGCAAATGCTAGGAGCTTTGGAGTTAGAGATATCATGTAGCACCAGATCTGTTTCGGTGGGGACAACTGAAGCTCGCTGAGGAAGTACTGGTGTTTGATATGTAACCCTGTAAGCGTACAGACAGAGAGTGTCAGAGTGCCAAGTGCAGAAAGATACCCGATGATCACTCTGTCCAGGGCGTCCACTGTGGCGCATAGAACTTCGTTTTCGTATCTTGCAGGATCGATGCTCCCCGCGTTACCCTCCTTGTCAAAGAATGCCAAACTACTGGGTTTTAACGGCCTGATGACCAGTATTTCGGTTTGCGTTACACAGATCTGTCTGCAGGGTACTGTTCCAGTGGTGATCACTCCGGAATGAGGTGTAATGACCTTGCCACGGACTCTAAAGTACTTGATTTTGTTGGTGCCGTTGGCAGTGTAGACATTGTCTTGGCTGTCTTTGTACAGAGTAGAGAAAAATGACTCCTTTGCCAATTGCTGAAATGGGATTACCCACATCAAAGTACCTTCTGAATTGTAAGCCTTTATATCCTCAAAACCGTGCGATACAACGGCTCGTCCGTCGTTTAGGATGACGATGTCTCGTACAGGGCCGACGTCACTACTCAAGTAAGGCTTTCTATCTCCTGAGACCTTGATGGCTTCAGCTCCAGGAAAACTGCTTCCATACCCTACGACAACGGTGTCTTGCGCCATGCCTGTCATACCCCTTATCCCTCCAGGAAGGTCTACCTCCTTGATGATTGTAGGTGATTGGGGCTGTGCTGGGCCTGCTGCCCAAGGCTGTGCCAATCCTGTCTCCGGAAGCATATTGGCCTGGATATCACTTACTAGAGCATTCACAGTAACATTCTGCGGAAGCCCTTGCACACGATTTTCCTCGAATGGGGTCTGTCTTCGGCACAAGGGACAGATCATGTGATTTATGTCTTGATGACCCATGTCATATCCTATGAGGCACTTCTGACAGAAGGTGTGTCCACAAGTCAAAAGTGTCGCTTTCTCAAAGATGGTAAAACAGAGAGGGCATTCCAGATTGGCATGTATAGGATCATTGATGGCTCGTTCAGCCATAGCTTTCACTCAGATAAATTTCTGGAAAAGTGGGAGTCAAAGTTGAGAATTATTGTGATGTAATTGAGAAGAATCATTTTTAGACAAGGTTGAGAATAATTGTGATGTTCTCACTGAAAAAGGGGAAAAGGCTTTTTTCAAGGTTGAGAATCACTGTAAACACATTAAACCAAAAGTCGAACGTATGAAAAGGACAAAACAAATTATGTAAACTTTGACATAATGATATTACAAAATTTGGAAAGGTTATTTAACTGCTTAACAGAATTTGCATTGAATAACTGATGAAATCAATTACTTTAGGTCTACTGTAATGATATTTCCTAACGTACTGCTAACGAAAATCATTGAATGCTGGACACACCAGAACATAATGAAATTCATCACCCTTTACCTTAAGATTACATAGTGAACATAACTCAAGAGGTTGATCAGATAAATAACGACATTTGGTAACTGGCAGCTTATTATTACTGCAACAAAATTACTTACAAAGAGATATTCTATCACCTATGCCCAATTTCAACAAATAGCTCTCCAAACCACCTTCCTGTTATTAAAGCATAAACGATTTCTATAAACTTCCTTATTCCAAATTCGGAATTTCTAAATTTAAGGTCCAAAGTCCCCAAAAAAGCCTTTTTTCACCAACCTATGAAATAGAAAAATACATATATCTTTGAAAAATACCTCACAGTTTTTAATACAAATTTATTTAAAGAATAATATTGAAGGGGTCAGTGACTCCATTTTGGCCATTTTGAGCAAAGGTGGTTTATGTGTCACTGAGAATTTGGGCCTTAAGGAGTGAAGTCTATCTCTCACTAGCCATTGACATCATGTTGGATGGAGTTAAGTCTTTGTGTTAGATGGACATTTTCTGAACATTTTGATATCAAATACTCATTTTGGCAAAATATGGACTACGTCTTTGTGTCACTGAACCCTTGTATGATCATTTTGTATATGCTGTGAAATTTTCATGAGCTTTGAAGCTAAAATAAGGGAGATTATTTGATTGTGTTATAGATCTCATATCATAGCACCAATAGAATTTAAAAAATTGAAAAAGAATTATCATTATTATCATATTTCATTCATGATATATTTAAAACATCACAATTAATATCAAATAATGCAATTACAAAATAAACGCTTGTCAATAGCTTCTAGTATTCTAGTACTCATCTTTGAAAAAAAGATCTGTTACAGAAAGTGACACGTAGTATGGTGCCCTCGATTTATTTTCAAGTACTCAGTTAAAGGAACTTAAAACAGTTTTAAATGTCTTGCAGTGTTCATATAATAAACTCTGTAGTAGAACATATATTTTACCTTGCTTTTGGAAGATCCGAATACGCATCACTTACATCAAAGTTTGATGTATAAAGGCAAAAGAGCAATACATCCAAGATGGTACAAAGCATTCAGCACTATTCTTTGCTTACCCAGCAATCACTAAATACGGAAATGCTTGACAAGAATTATTACGAAATGTGATGGATTTTGTAAATGCCATTGTGTGTTTGTCACTTTTGGGGGATTTTCAGGGCTATTAATATACAGTTCTGGTTGGATGGTTGGAATGTTATGCCTCCGCAACGAAATAGCTGGAGGCATTATGTTTTAGGGTCATCCGTCCGTTCGCTCTATGGCAGAGGCATCATTTTCGACTGCGCGCAGTTTAACATCCTTCTAGTTCTGAATGATTCCGTTATAAATAGAGAATAAGTAGCATCAATATGACAATGTGGTATTATGGTTCTTATGTACTGCAAAGGTACAATTGGTACTGATTTCATATCTCATATTCTCCTCATTCATGTTTTAACCCGAAATAAAATTCCTACTCGACCAGGCATGATACTGCTGACAAAAAAACAATCATTTAAACGTTGAACTCTCTAAATTTTCACTATTTGATTGAAATTAAACCTTACCCGTTTTTATCATATTTAGAAATGGAAAAAAAAATGTAATAGGGTACACATTTTTCCTCCATTCAGTGTTAATGTCAGAATCTATTTATGTGTTATTTGAATAAATAGGAAGTATGTTCTTCGAAAAATGTGATAATGGCTTGTAAGCCTGGCTTAAAGGTAATACAAAGTTTTGGTATGGGGTCATGAATTTGGTTCAAATGAACATATTGGAAGCATACGCGATCTTACAATATTCAGTGATCGTTGTCGCGGTTGAAATCGAGTCTAAAGTGTTAATAATAAACTCTTTATTTTGTTTAGCTCCCTCTCAAGGTCAAGATATTAATTAAGCTATAAAACAATGTTTCTTGACTAAAATCGACCGATTAGCTATTCCCGTTTGGAAATTATATATCACAACTACATATTCTGAGATTTTTACGGTCGCAGCTACCATTGTACGGCCGGTAAATTTGTATATTCTATTTTTCTCGAAAGCAGAAGTGTTTTAGGGGATACATTTTCTAGTGCTTATAATACATCCACAGGGGCATCCAAATATATCAAAATTGTAAAGAATCAGTATCCACCCAATTTTCAAAATTTCCCAAAACTTACTTACGTATTACTTTTAACCGATTTATGGAGCAGCAGGTTTATGTTTCACTTTTAATTTTATTTAATTTTTGTCTTCTTTTGATTTATATCTTTTTAATTTTCTGTGCAAATTACCATAATTTTGTGACAAGAGAATGAATGACCTGAATCAAGGAATTGAAAATGATGAATTTATTTTGTATGGACCTAATTTTGTTTCTTCATTGATTTACACGTTATGATGGTGATTTTTTGAATGGGATGAAGAGGTTGACATTTCATGCTGGATAAAATCAATGGATTAACTCTACTCACTTGAATCTGGGGGGTGTTTCACAAAGATCCTAAGTCAAACTTAACTCTAAGTTGGACTTACATATTATGGAGAGCCATTTGTAGCCCTAAAATTGAATATATTTAAAAGCAAAAATTCAAGAATTATAGACTTTTCATAAATTCCACATCAAGAACATGAAATCTCCTTGATAATAGAAAATATGAATGATTTGAATCAATATTTTATACCTTTTAAAATAACTTTTACAAAATATTTTCAAAGATGCTAACAGCTTTCCATAATTGTTTAGTGCAACTTAAAGATAAGTTCAACTTATGATCTTTGTGAAACACCCCCCTGGACTAAAGTAAGTATGCTTTTATGAATACCAGCCTATATATTTATTTTAACCTTCTGTGCTTATCATTGTTGCTATGTTTTCTTGAATCGTATAACAGGATCCTGTATCTGACCTACCAGACTGGTACTATCCTTTCTACAAAAGCTTCTTGAAATTCATGACGTCTTTTGGCATCCTCATATTTATGGTAAGATCCAGGGTTCTTTACTTCTTGCAGGTACAATAAAAACAATTAATTAAAGTTAAGATGATTTTTCAGACAAAACAAACTGTTCTTAGCTGAATTTGGTGAAGTTTGTCACTAAAGTACTTGCATATAGGATTTGTTAAATTATGACTGCCAGATTTTAGGTCATGCCATTTCTCTGCTTCAAATTTGATATTGTACAGAACTCATGCTACTCCAGCATTTTTTTTAACACTATTCAGAATGATAAATGAGGAAAAAAAGAGAACTTTTGTACAATCTATTGCTATATAATCATTTCCATGATTGTGTATGGAACCCTTGGACAACATAACAAGGCAGAAAAAATTGTTTCAAGCTCTATTTTATCAAATTAAGGCTTGCATGGTTATTGGTATGATAATGATTGGGTTTTAGGTCAGGAGTAGTGCTGGGTCTGTGATTGAAGTTTAATATAATATTAGTGTCAGAAACCTACCACATAGCAATAGGCTATTTTCATAATGTAATCAAATTTAATGCATATGTCTTTGTGAAGTGCTTTGATACAAGTGATGTCATTTAACTGTTCCAAATAATTGTATTTCAATAGCCAGAATGCGAATTGCATACAGTATTTGTCGCTAGGTAGCAAAAACATTATGGCTTGGCCTACCTAAAAGCACATAATGTGCAGTTTGCATTCTTATATACTTTTGAAATACCATTATTCTGAACAGGTGAATGAAATAATTTGTATAGAGGCACTTCACAAAGATGTATCCATTAAATTTGCAACATTACTAAATTGGCCTATTGCCCCTGCAGCATGTTAAACAATTGCATCATTTATTAATCATTTGAATAATTCAATGCGGAATAAATTGATTTCTCTGTTGTTTTCGCAGGCGTTGCTGGTTATCATGAGCGTGATCAGCGTGATTATCTACAGACTTTTCACGGAGGCTCTTCTCTACGACTCGGACAGTCTTGTTCAACTCCTCGTCTCTGTCTTGATCTCTTCTCTTCTGAACTCAATTTCCATTCTCATCTTGGGAAAAGTAAGTTCCTTTTGACTTCCTTTACTTTACTTTAACTTTACTTTAACTTTACTTTAATCCAGCGATGCTATAGGATTATGCCTGTTCATCGATCATAGATGTCTTCTTCAGTGGTTATACATTATCCTTGTCTTTTCAAATTAAATAATTAAATAAGTGGGAAAGGACAAAAATGTGTGCCAACTTGCAAAATCAATTATCAGCTTATACAGGCTCAAAGACAAGATCATGGTTTTTAGACCAGTATTTGACTAGTATATTCTTAAAACAGTTTACAGAAGTTGCTGAGATAACATATTCAGGAATACTGTTCCACAAATGCACAACTCTCTTGCTAAAGAAATGCTTCCTCATATTAAACTGAGAGTACTATTTGTCTAGTTTCATTTTATGACCTCGAGACCTCCTCTGTGCCATATAAAACAAATTATGTTGTGTATCATATACTCCTGTTAAAACATCAATCATATCACCTCTCCTTCACCTATTAATTACATTTCTCATATTATTTGTTGTTGATGTTGTTTTCATTATACTCTATACCATTCAGCTAAAATGACACATTAAATTTGAGAATATCAAATTATCAAAACAAAATTCTTTTAACTGGAAGCCAGAACTTTTCTATTGATATTATTCATAATCATTACTTCACACAAGGTGTTGCAGTAGTTATCATTTTTCTGTTATGTTGTTGCTGTTCTATATTCACTAAAACATGAAGAAATAAAAGATCTGTAAAGCATAATCTGTAATTCATAGTGGCAGAGCTGTGTTTCTTGTTATCTTTATTAAGAAAGTGATTGTAGTAGAATACATAATTTGCCAATCAGCAATGCCCAATACCCTTTAAAAAAAATAATTTGCATAGGTATTTGCATGGGTATTTACTATATTTATTGCCGAACATTGTAATGCTGTAGATAAAAGTTGTATATTTTCTCAAATATAACCAAAGTGATGTAGGCAATGACAATATTTCTTCTTTCTCTTCTTTCAGATATATGAAAAAATAGCTCTCAAGCTGAATAGTTGGGGTAAGTAGAATATTCTTTATTTCATTCAAGATGTGGATTTAAAATGGGCCATTTCTCAATTATTCCATTTCACAAGAACTTTAGCATTATCTTATATGACTAAATCCAGTCTAGATTGGAATGAAAGTTAATATTTAAAGCCCCATTGCACTACTTGTAGCTACTTGTGCCCTCTATACAGCCAACAATGCCTAATCAATGCCTGTTGGTCCCCCATTACCCCTTTTTCTTATCTTAATTGAGAGCAGATTTGATGAGATAACCACCTGTCAGTGACCTTGCAGGGAGGTCTTATCCCCTCTGGCCAAACTAGTACAGACTGGCTTTAAAGATGTTGTTTTTCCCCTCTCTTTATGTCTTCACAGAGAACCACAGAACAAAGAGTACATACGAGAATGCTCTCATCGTGAAACTCTTTGCCTTCCAGTTTGTCAACAGCTACTCTTCCCTCTACTACATTGCTTTTTTCAGAGATGTAAGTTGTTGAAACTTATGTATACCACAATATATATATATCTTGTTCAAGGTATGTGACTAGTGAAAAGTTAGTGTTACAATCATGCACAAAAACTTTATTGCTGTAGCAGTTGTTATGAATTCATTTTGAAGGCATGACACTCTTGTGAATCTAAATCACAAAAGTCTGGCTTTTAATGTAACCATGTTGAAGCGTTGGAATTGTGATTTTCAAAACCCCCATCTTCCTTAGCTGTAATTTTAGTTGAAGTTAAAGACCATATAATAATAATAATAATAATAATAGGCATTTCTATAGCGCCATCTATCTAGATAATTCTATTCTGAGGCACATTTATTATTACCCCGACTTTAGCCTAGCAGCCGTTTATACAGCGCTCCAGCATTTCAAGGAATTAATTCCTGCCAGGTACCCATTTACATCACCTGGGTTGAGTGTGGCAAATGTAGATCAATGTCTTGCCAAAGGACATTAGTGCCGCGGCGGGACTCGAACCGTGGACCTTGCGATCGACAGTCCGGCGACGTATCCACTCGACCACGACAACTCTAAATTGAAAAATGAAATGGATGAATTATATTTCAACGGAAAGCTTATAAGCCATAGATTATAATAATATCAATTATATGCCATTGTAGTGTCTGTCAGAGGAGTATCAGCTCTCTGAAAACTCAAAAGCCAAAGCTTTGAAAAGCAGAAGTTTTCGACCTAAAAACTTGCAATCGACTTGATGACATCATCTTATGTGGAGTACGTATATTCACAATGACTTTGGATTAATTAAGCATGGCTTATTGCCTCAGATATATAGGTGAACCAATCGGGTCCACATGTTATGTCGTCACTGTAACGTCTGCAAATTTGACCCCTATTGACCCGTAATTTGGAGGGGTGCAGAAAATGAGGTTTTATTTGATTTTGTGCAATAATGAAAGGGTTAAATACTTTTTATTCCTCTATATTTGTATTCTACATTCATTTCATTTTCCATTTATATCAAGTTGTATTTTCATCGGATAGGGTCTTTAGGTCTTATCTGATATCTGTGTCCCCCAAAACATGATTTACGTAATCCTCATACCCCAAAACTTACTTATCCCTTTCAGCAATCTGGGTCTGATTCTTTCCTTGGCATCGATGGCTTAAGGGATTCCTGTACGGATAACAACTGTATGTCCATGCTGTCTCTGCAAGTCTTTGTCCTCATGTTGGTCAAACCGGTTCCAAAGTTCCTCAAGGATGTCATCCTCCCGTAAGTAAAGACAAAGAAGCAAGAATCAGAACCTATACATATATTTTTTACTTTGCCTCTTCAGAGGAGGCGAGATAGCTCAGTTGGTAGAGCAGTGGTCTCGTAATCCGACGACCCGGGTTCGAAACCAAGGCGATGCACTAGTGCCCTTTGGTAAGGCATTAATCCTCATTACTAGGTCTCTCAGAGAGGACCTAAAGCCGTCGGTCCTCTTGATATTGCATGATTATTTTGATACTGTACAGAGCGCCTTGAGCAGTCTTTTAGAATGGATATGTGTGCTTTATAAGTTGACATTATTATTATTATTATTATTATTTATCATTACCTTGCAGATACGTAATCAGGAAGGTCAGGAAGCGGACCTGCTGTCGGAAGAGCCAGGTCAAAGACCTTGACATGGAGAAGATGAGCCCTCACGCTCAGTACCTCATGAGAGAGAGGAACAAGCCCCCTGTAGGTGACCTTACGCTAGGGGAATACAACGAGAAGGTCATTCTCTATGGCTTCCTCATGGTAAGCGACATTTCTTCTGCATGTTGTGACTATGATTTATACAGTGAAACCTGTCTATAAAGACCACCCAAGGGAGACAAGAAAAGTGGTCTTTATAGGCAGGTGGTCTTTATGGACAGGTTCCTTTAGTACATGTTTCAATGAGAAATCATTTTCAAGAGAAACAAAAAATGTGGTCTGTGTAGACAGGCGGCCACTAAAACAGGTTTGAATGTATTATTCTTTTAGAAGTGATAATGTTTCACTGCACCCCATGCGATACAGCAAATAAGCTACTGACTGGGCAACCCTGTTTAAAGGAAAACTAAATAAATCAAGTAGATAATTAAAGGTGAATTTCAGCATGGTTAAATATTATAATGTTTTCAAGGATAGCAATGTCTTTACAATATATTTACTTTCAACTGTTGAGATCTGTTTGTGTGTGTTCTAAACATTAATCTGAAATCGGTTAGTTGTGCAACAATCCTGGACATCATAGAAGATACATAGTACACCAAACTCAATGATAATGATCAAAGTAATGTTAAGGTCCTTTAAAAAAAAAATGTAATGGCGGCTAAGTAGCACTAGGAATTAAATACAGATATGAAGTTCCTGGAGAGAATGTTACAATGACACATGTTTGTATTATTTTGCTTTATTTATAATATTATTTGATGATCGATGTTTCATTATTTGCAAAACAGATATTTTCTTCTGCGCTGCCCATTGCCCCACTCATTGCTATCACCGTCTTGCTACTGGACATCAGGATAGATGCAAAGAGGTTACTCTGGTTCAACAGAAGGCCTGTAGCTTTTATCGCATCTAACATAGGTAAGTCAATGACAAAAGAACTGGGGGGGGGGGGGTGTTTCACAAAGATCTTAAGTCGAACTTAACTCTAAGTTGGACTTAAACGTTATGGAAAGCAGTTTGTAGCCTTAAAATAAAATATATTCAAAAGTGAAAATTGAAGTATTCTAGACTTTTTATAAATCCCACATTAAGAGCATTTATAATAGAAAATATGAATGATTTGAATCATTATTTGATGCCTTTTAAAATAACTTTTACAAAATATTTTCATAGATGCTAATGGCTTTCCATAATTGTTAAGTCTAACTTAGAGATAAGTTTAACTTAGGATCTTTGTGAAACACCCCCCTGGTATATAGTATAGGAGTGGACGCTGGGACAATACTTTGTTGATACTTCAGCAATACAGGAACGTAATAATAATAATAATAATCTGGATTTATATAGCCCTTAATATGAAATTACATCTCTAAGCGCTTTACAAATATTATTACCCTGGTCATCGGACTCATTCGCGCACAATGTGCACCATTTCCACTCCCTCGGGAGTATTCCTACTGTATGGTCACCGTGAGGGCATATGGTAATTACTAACACAAATGCTTTCATCTTCCTACTGGGTCCCCATTTCTTTCTTAGGTATTGAGTGGAAAATGTAGAATAGTGCCTTGCCAAAGGACATTAGTGCCGTGTCGAGGATCGAACCCACAACCTTTGAATTCTAAGTCAAGTGCTTAAACCACTCGACTACAACACTTCTTTAGAACATAGAGCATTGTGGTCTACAGGAGTATGCAAAACATTTTAAGACGCTTCTACTCTATTTTTCTTTCTCTCTTTATTCAGGAATGTGGTTCTCGATCCTGGACTTCATCAACTTTGCTGGTGTGGTGTCCAATGCCTTCATCATCGCATTCACAGCTCAGTGGGGCAAGAAGTACAGCTCTGTGGAGAAGCTCTGGATTGTCATAGGCTTTGAGGTGATCATCTTTAACTTTTGGATTTGAGAAATAACACGTCTAGCCACTTTCAAGAGATCCCTTGAAAGATACTTCTCCCTTTAGTATTAAATATAATGTGATATGCTTATATTATGAGTCGTATGTATAATGTTCCTCTCCAAATTCTGTGATAGTGTAAGTGTTGCGGTACTTTTGTATTAGTGCCCCAATACTTATTATCATTTTTGTTGTTGTTGTTGTTATTGTTGTTATTATTTTTATTATTATTATCAACATGTTATTATAAAGCATATAGTGTTATGTGCATTTTAGCAGAGAATGATGAATGCGTGAACAATATATGTCCAGTTTAACAAATGATTTCACTGCTAATAGACCACAACTATGCAACTTATTTGAATCCAGACACCATTCATTTTTCTGTAATTTTAATTAAAAAACTTATTGGATATAAATTATACTTCATGTAGGCCTTCCAGGTCCTTGTTGAAAACAGTTTTATAACTGACAGTGCCATCCTGTATAAATGAAACTACAAATAAATAAATTGTATTATTTGTTTCCTGATACATATTTATTTTAGCAATGAAAACTACAACTTTAGAAAATAATGGGATCCAGCTCTTCTGTCAGGCCCTAAACAACATAGGCAATGTATTGTATAAAATTGTTGAATACTTTATACCAATAATGATATTATCCTCCCCTCTCTCTTTCTTCGCAGCACATTGTATTTGCAGTGAAGTTCATGATCATGTACATCATTCCAGATGTACCGTCAGATATAGCACTCGCTATGAGGAGGGTGAGTTTTGAGGTTTTTTTTACTTAATTGGGCAGTTCCCTGCACCACGTACCACAAACCACTTTTATTATCCATTAAAGTCATCAAAAAATGAAAAATACAGTCTGACTTTCTTTAGGGACCACCTGTATATAAAGACCAACTGTCTATAAAAGACAGCATTTTTAATTTCCCTTAAATATGATTTCTCTTTGCTCGATTCATGGATATTAAACTATAGGGAAATGATTTTCCCACTCCTTATGATCTATTTTGTCTTCAATCATCATTGTAAATATATCCTATTTACCTAAATCATGCAAATATTGTTCTCTAGATGCTACATCTTCTTTCTCTTTGTCTTCCCCTCCATCTCGTTTCTCCAGGAGAAGTACCAGGTGGCCAAGATCTTGGAGGATGCCGAGAACCAGCCGCCCATGAAAAGTAAGGACTTTATGAGTCGCGTGATTCCTAGCGGGTCCGACTACAAGGGCCTCAATTACTATACCTCAGAGATGGATCGGATATCCAGCAGCAGCCAGTCCCTTGAACACAGTTTCAACGCGGGCTCCCCCGTCAATTACGCGGCCTCGGCTGCCGATGCCGACGACATGTACGAGAGAGAGGCTGATAGAACAGAGTATGCCGAAACCAAAACGTTTTTTGTTGGTGGTTGGATATTTAAAGAGAAAAAACATAGTTTTTTGGCATGCTATTATTTATTACATTTTGCTTTGTGCTTTGTAGCATCTTTACCACGCTCTGTTCTTGAAGTTTTATTCATCGCTTATATACTCTGCTGTGTGGGTTAAACTTACCTCGACACTTGTAACCGGATAATAACACTTGTATATATACTGCAAAACCAGGAGAATTTTTATCCAAAAAACTTGCATATTTCATAAGTGGGTCAGCTTTGTGAAGTTTCATGCCAAGATATAGTTTTTGTTGATGTACTTCTGTTAGAGAGGTTTAGAGACTAGATTACATGCATATGCCTATCTCATTGTGCAACAATTAAATTTTTTTTTTTTTCAAAGGGTAAATCCTGTAATTTTTTGAGAATTTGCCAAAATTTCTTGCCTTCAAAATGCCCCCTGTTAACGCTAATGATCAATTTTGGGTTATACCGGTTTTACAGTATATATCTGTGTATGAATAATACATTAACAACTTCATTAATATTAGTAGGCCAAGGTAAGTTTCACCCACACAGCACAGCATTTATACATATCTTCATTCCGAGATTAGTTATGGGATATCTCTCGGATTTTGCATGGCTTGCCATTTCATTTGCATGTGTAATATTGAATTTTTAAAAAATATTTGCTCCTGTTAATAGTTTGCTTTCAACTACCCTAATATTCTTTTCTTGTGAAATATAATCATCATATTCAGCATTCTTAGTCACCCTTTTCTTTCTAATATCCATTCATCTAACATTAACTTCGACTTTTAATTAATTTTGCATATAACCTACACGTCTCTGAATTTTCATTTCAGTACATATTTTTCTAATATACATACCTGTAGGAAAGAGATGTTTAAAGGGATCCCGTAACTTTGTCTTAGATCCTTAATCTAGCTCATGTTGCAATGATAATTATAAACCTTTAGGTCAGTCAGGAACCCCATGACTTTTACAAGCCGATCGCCTGTCCGATTATCAAGATATTTATGATTGAAAATCGAAATCAAATTTTGCGTTTGCCAAACGGTTTTCATAACACTACAGTCTGTTGGGGAAAACGAGTATGGTAAAACCGGTCACTCAAAGGTTTTTACTTTTTTGAGGCACTTCTTGATCATTTTTGATGCACAATTTTGTTAGGGCTTCAGTATAACACCATATCACAGTCGCTGATAATACGTAGGGCTGTGCATCTCAGATTTAACATTGTTAAACGATCCCTTTAATACTTCAGAATTGTGTTCTAATATGCCAAATTTCTCATTATGATGTCATCAATAACATTTCAACATCTTACTCATCATCCATGTTGTTTATTCCTGAAAGCTGCTATCTCATTTAAGAAGTAGATATTTGATGTGCATGGCCTCAAGACTTTTGTGTTAAAGTTATCCACTATTTTTTTCTTTTCAAATATTTAGAAAATTGTCACGCACTGACATGTGCAAAACGTGTATTAAAAGTTCCATTTATTTCAAACATTGATTTATGAAAAGGATGATTAATAAATGCCTCATATTTGTGTGTAGTTATTACAAATATTTTCTCTTTAATTAATTCAGGCAAACATTTTGGGGGATCCCTCTGTCGCCTCCCTTTAGTGTTCCCCCTCCCCCATTATAATGTTTTCTGATATCAAGTCCAAATATGAAAATCAAATGATAATATCCATCTTGAACTATGAATTTTGATCGAAGAATTCTTATCCCACCTCTGTGCTTCACAGCTACAGAGAAAATTCAATGTCAAATTATTTTGTGTTATATGCTCACCTTAATCTTGCATAATCTCAGTAATTTTTCATAAGCTATGGCAATCCCGTTACCTTTTCTAGCAGTCTGCATTTATTGATGCATTTCTCTTGATTTTTGTTCGGCGAACAACTACTCATCTTTGCAATCTGCATTTAGTAACAATACCCTGTCACAATTTTACATTGGCAAATGAGAATTCTAACTTGCAACCTTTAAAGGGGAGAATCCATTCTGCTATCAAGTTGGTTTAATTAGAAGCAAGAGGGTAAAAGTTTGAGCAAAAACTGATTAAAAGTAAGCAAGTTATGAACTTTTGAAGGTACAATCAATCGTACTCAAATTGGCAACTTTGTCATGTCTCTTGTGAGCTCCCCTCCCGTTTGCCCTAGCTGTACTAAAACAACTTTAAAAATCTAAATTTTCTCTTTAAAAAAGTCCAATTAAACATTCACCCGAAATATAATTATTGCAAGTATGTTTCTATACATCCCCTGTATGAAACAAATTATTCCCTCATCAATAATTAAGAAAATGAAAGTTTATGGAATTTTTGGTACAGGGCAAATTAGAGAGGAGGTCACATGATACGTCACAGTGTTGCCAATTTGTGTTTCACTGACGACAACTTCAAAAATTCATAACTCTCTTTTTTTCAATCGGATATTGCTCAAACTTTCACTAATTTGTTTCTCTCATTTTTCTGCCTTTATTCAAATCAACTTAATATCAGGGTGGACAACCCCTTTAAATTTGATAATTTCTTGTATTTTTGTATCTGCTTTATCTCTGCTTCAGCTTTAAGTGGTCTCTAACCAGTGGAGGCTCCATCTTCTAAACCCACCTTATAACAGCGTATGTGATGGGGGCCAGCTGTGTGAGATAATTATCATCATAGCATGCCTGCCAATCTTTCCGAATAATCCGGAATATTCTGGTTTTCTGGATTCATAGGACCTAAAAATTCAGAATATTCAGATTTTTTTGGTTGTTGTGCTTATAGCCAAATTAAGCTTGTTTTATCATGTGCCGCGATTTGAGAGTTCACGTATTGCGTGCGTTGAATGGCTGCATGATCGAGCAGCAAATTTGTATTCGCTTTTTGGTACAGCTTCACTGCGTATTGCCACTTACAGCCTATGTAATGGGGGCCGGCTGTGTGAGATAATTATCATCATAGGCCTGTTAAATGCATTGTCATATCGTGCTCGGAAATTGTATATCGTGCTCAATGAACGTCATAGTAAGCTCAAAAGCAGGGAAGCTTCATGAAGAAAAAAAAAACAGCAAAGAAAAAAACATTTTGGTCAGCCTATAACCAGCTCCCAAGAGAGAGATTCTAAACTTTTTGAACTAATCACTTGTTATTATGCGAACAACAATAATTCTTACAATGATCTGTTTGCACATCTGTTTAGCAACTACTGATGGGAAGCTCCTCGTGAGGATCTATATATTATATACGCTGCAAGATGCAGCAACGGCATTTTGTTACTCTTTTCTCTTTTATATTAACATTGATTACAAACAATTAACAATTGATGCTGCTTATAAGTATCAGCAATTAACAATTGATGCACAAGTTTCTCTAATTTGCTCTTTTGTAACTGCACTCTTAACAAACATTCCTTGTAAAGAAACCTACAAATTTCTTTACCATTTAAAGACAGTATTTTATATTGTTTAAGGAACAACAGTAAACGTTAAACATCACAATGAAACATGTACCTCATTCGTGAATATACCATGCTGTTTTTTGCTTGTTTTACATTGTATTTTCCTGGTAAGATTTTAATTCATTTCTCTGTGATGCATTAAAAAAGCAGATTATCTCATGTCCTGAATTATTCAACTACAAAACCAGTGTCGGTATTTCGAAAAGCATTTGCTGCTATGATTGAGGAGATTTTCATTCTCGTAACATATCTAAATTTCAGCTTTTCAATTGTGTTGTGAAATTGCATATTTGAACTAGCTGGTTAGTCATTAACCATTGACCTTTTATAATTTAGATTTGGCATGACAACTAAATGTCTCTCCCTAAAATACAAATTTGGTTAGTTTTCATAATACCACTCCTGGTTATAATTCTGAAATAGTTGCAACGTATTCTTAAATTTGCTGTAGTAATGAAATGTCCCTTCAAAAATTGCAACAAGTTATAGGCAAATATTCTTTCCAGGAAAAGAAATAGAGAGTGAGAGGGAACATTTTTTTTGTATCCTTCATCCCATGAATAACTTTTATTTCTATCATCTTCACAGGTTAACTTACGATGAGAATGGAGACTCATACTTGGCCAGCCCTCGCTTACTTCCCCCAGAGGAACCCGTCAAGAAACGCAAGAAGAAGAAGAAGGCGAAGACCCCCCGTTCCCCGCCGGTTGACCCCGACCTACCCCCTCTCCAGACTGCAGGGGTGTACTCCGTCATGAATCCTAACATGAATCCCAACCTCGCTTACCCTCCTAACTACGGTTTCCACCCCTCCTACCCGCCAGATAACAGCTTCAATGATACCTCCCAGGAGGTACCGGTCACGTACCCGTTGCCTGTCAATAATACATTCACAGGACCCTTCTAGCCCCCTCACCAAGACTCACAACTTCTTCTTCTTTGCAATGAAATTTTTACAACCATCTCATTTTAGTTTTACTTGCTGAAAAAGGAATTATTCATCCTTTTGAAATACGTGTTGATAGTATTTCAAATTGTAGAGTTTTCTTCCCAGTTAGAGAGATGTTCTCGGTTTGTACCTGTAAGCACAAACATGAAAAAGATTTAATTAATTTTTTTTTTCCTATGTGATTATTGTCCTGAAATATATATTTTGAAGTGTCAAACGATTTTGTGATAATTTACAATGCTGTAATTAACCTGTAGTTTTGTTGATAATTTAAAATGGATAATTCCATGTAAATGCATATTCTGCTACTTCCAAGAGAAATGAAGTAAATCATATTTGAGAGATGCCTGGTAGATTAAAATGAATGCTTAGTATAATGCATTATCATGAAGTATATTCTTGTATCTTGAATAATTGCTAATGATATACAGACTATTGCTCAGTGCATTTCTTAAATTCACCTTTCAAAGCCACCCCAGTATAGAGGAGATATTAGGGGATGGCACAGTATGCAATTTCAAAACCATGCAGTAAATCATGAAACACTTTTTATACATTTGCCTCTCTCTACCCAGGTGTCTACAAGGGGGACAGAAAAAGGAACCTTCATATGTGCTGTTATCGGACATTTTCCAAACCTAAATATATGTCACTAATTACTTTTTTCAGTGGTGTAGTTTTCACCTACTGATTTGATGAGGCTTCGTGAAATTTTATCACTTTAATTTTATAGAATTAAAGTTTATCTTGCTGTTTTTGATGGGTTGATATGTTCAATGGTTGATGTTTTTGTAACTTGTGATGTAAGCAAAACAAACGCATGCTTGAAAGGTATAAGCACCCAGGTACCTTCATGCCTCGGCAAAGGGCACTATTATCGTGCACCAACTTGGATTTGAACCCGCAATCTTTTGTTCCAATACCACTACCCCATGCATTGTCTAACTAGTAGCATCCTAAAGTATTTCGTAAACTCTTGCAGGCCACATTATCTTGTAGCATCTTGCAATATTTTTTATACTCCTGCAGACCACAATTAATTACCTTGTCTTATCAGAGATTTTGATTTAATTTGTGGCGTTTTGATTTCTATTATGTATTTGTGACATTCCTATTACTATTATGTGAATAGTGTAAGTTATGTATTCATTAGCCTTTTACCTTGGATTATAATTCATTAGTACAATAAGTGTTATCCTTTTCTTATATGTCATGTTAATATTGAATTGTACATAGATTTCTGTTATACTGTATAAATATTTATTTCCAATTTGTTTGTGTATATATTGCATTGTATGTATATATTGTTTCCTTTTAAAATGTTTTTTCAGGTACATAAATGTATCTTATTTCTTAATATAGTTTTACCTAGACCTGTACAAATATGGTTAAAAGACAAAAAAACAAAACAATTGATCTTTTTGCTGTATAATCCTATTGGCATTATATCAATGGAAGTACAAAATGACATTTATCAAACAAATTTTTATATATACAACTTTTTATAACCAACTTTGTATTCAGAACAACTGCACTCAGGTGACTTGGTTACAGAATTCCAATTCATTTTCTTGTTTAGAAGTCTTCAATTGGTCACAAGGTATTTACCGGTATGTCTTTTTTTGTAGGGGGTGGGGGCATAATTAGGACAGCATTGACTCTATCATGTTAAGATATTTCTGTTGTGAATGTATGATGTTACTGGGTGTATGTAGTTTAAATGTACAAGCAAATGGGTACTTTTTAAATCTTAAGTATGAAAATCAATACTACTACAGGTAACCATAAAAAATAACACAAAGGAACAAATGATGAAAAAAGAGGTTTTTATGTATATGTATATTTTATTGTGTATTTTCATACTTGTGTGGAAAAGTTGAGCTTGGGCAATCATTGTGTACAAAGGTTTTATCATCTATTCTTTGAATTAAACATATTGCTGGATTTGACACATTAAGGTAGTCAATTATTTATATTTTCAAATCATTTTGTTGATTAAAATTATCCATAAGCAAATGTATTTTTAATTAAATTAAATATTTTAGTTCTTTTTAAAATGAAAGTTGCAGATACTAGATATTAACTATGTTTGAAGAAATGAAACACTTAAAAAGTAAATGATTTTTTTTCCTTTTTATTATATTCAGCATTTAAATACCTATAAATATACTCAAAAACTGTCAGGAATGAATTATTGTGTGTGAAGGAAAAAGTACTGCAAAGCCCATGTTTTAAACAAAAATTTGATACATAAAATATGTTTTTAATACTCTGTTTTTTAAAATCAAAGAAATATCACGTGTGTGAAACATACTTAGTGAAAGAAAAATGTAATGTATGATTTTGTAAGGGTTCAATTTGACCTACATTTTTTTTTACAATTCACAAATTGATGTGTTGTGATATAATGATTACACATTCCTTGTTTGCTGTTGCCAAATTACACTTTGATTGTACTGTCATAGATAATTTCTAGATATATCATAATGCATGCCTATGTATATATAGAGGGATTTTTATGGTGACTCTATTTGCATGAAGCAGCTGTATGATATTGTATTCTACTTTAAATGACTTTTTTAATAATCAACGTTTATATATTTGGATTGATTGAGAGGTTATTCCCTCTTTTGTGTGCAATTTATGAATCGCCTTGAATCATTTTCGATGTATATGTATATAAATGATATATTTCTTGTATCTTTGTTTAAGAATATCTCATTTTATCAAGTTCAATTAACTTAATAATGCTAAAAAATGAAATAATTGTGTATTCAGGTGAAAGGAAAACAGATACATGGCCGGAGGATGTACATTTCTGGAAAAGTGCATATATACCTTTTTTTTTTCAGACAACCCTTTTTAACAACCTTTTTTTTAAACAATCTTTTTTGGACCACCTTTACAGCACATTTCAGTAAGAACTTTGTCTAAGTTCTCACTTGATGTGCCATAAGTTATTTTTTTTATTATTGTATGATTTATTTATTTTTCATTAAAAAAGAAAAAAAATTGACAAATCGTCACCTTTCTGCCAGGCATGCACACATCAAAATGTCTGCCCTCAAAAGAATCCTCCCAGAATCATGAGGAGACATGAAATTATCCAATACTGAACTCTCAAATCTATTCTCACATTCATGAATTGTAGCTGTGATAACATGCATTTTTTAATATTTTTAAATTGATTATTATGGTAATATGAATCCATGTTCTGGAGCCATTTGCTTTTGGAAAATGTTGAAAATGCAAGAAAAATTGTTAAGCATATGTCTCAGGTTTTTTCTCCCCAGAAAAATGTTTATTCACAACAAACCAAAAATATGATATCATGTATTGGGTAATACTTGTATGTATTTGAATTTTAGACTAATGGATCTAATCTAGGCCCTGTCTTAAAAAGAGTTGCGAGTAATCAAAATCGCAAGTCTGCAGTATATCCTTTTACAGTTGCTATATCTATCTCTACATATTTGAGATTGATATCAGTCGCAAATAAGTTGGGATTAATTGCAGCTGTTTATATTAAAGACGGGGGCCTTGATATGCTTAAATTGAAATTTTTCAAGATCATTACAAAGGGGTGCTTTGATATGTCTATTTTTGAATTCCATGATTAACCTATGATTATATTTTGCATTGATATACAAAGATGATCTGTGTAATTCCTAGAAATATAAAGCCTTGATTATGAACTTCATTGTTTAAAAAAAGCAGGTCAGTGATTAGATATTTAATTGTGCAAATATTATTAAAGTGATTCACCTTGATTTTCCAGCCTTCTCGATCTATTCATAGAACTCTATTAGAAGTGTGTGATGTATATCTGTATGTAGAATAAACTTCTTCTACTGTTTAGATCATGATTGTAAAATGAAAAATGAAATAATAAATTACTTCAACATTGTAATAGTGGTTTGCTTGATTTGTTTTGTCTTTTTTAGCTAGCACAATTATTGTAGGCCTAGTTTAATCAATTGATTGCTCTCATATTACTTTTGAAAAATATTATAGACAAGAGAGAGAGAGAGTGAGAGAGAGAGAGAGAGAGAGAGAGAGAGAGAGAGAGACTGGAGAGGGAGAGAGAGAGAGAGAGAGAGAGAGAGAGAAAGAGAGTTCTAAGAATGGGAGGAATACCCTGCCATAAAATCCCATTGTTAAAACAAAAGTGGTATCTCGTCTAATTTGGGGTAATAATAATATGATGGACACTTACTTACACCTACAAAGGGATCGAATTAAACCTCAAAGCGAAAATATACAATTTTTAGACATTGATACATACTCCGACATTGTGATTACATTATCAGGGAGAATTTCAATGTTTGTTTAATCAAGGAGTTATCAGTAACTCCTTGGTGTATATATAGGTCTGCACTTGACCTCTAATACGGTGATTTTGTGCATATAAATATCGGTATTACCGTAGCCTGTCCGGTTTTCGCTCACGTGAGCAAAGGCACAACGAAAGTTATCTGAGAAAAATTAGCCGGGTGCACGTGACGTGAGCGAAAACTGGTTAGAATAGGCACTATCTAAAGCATCAACATGGCAGGCGCAGGCACACCGAACAACAGCGAGGAGATTCGACAGAAAATCGAGGTATGCTGGTGTTATTGATTGAGTATGGTAGTTTTAATATATTTCAAGCTGTATGAGGAATACTCTGGTGTGGTGCAAGTATTAATTTGGTTGTTTGCATTCAGAAAATAGAAGGAAATACGAATTGTATGAGAGAAGTCATTACCTGCAGGCTCCGAGTACTTTGCTCTGTTACTGTCCCCCAGACTTGTGGGGGAAGCCACTCGGAATCGTGCGGTGCCGTCGGTGGACAGGGGCGGGTGTTGGAATGGCGAGCCCTGTGTGTGCAGATCGACCTAACATTTGAAATTGAAATTGACAAGGGTTTTCATTTACATTCCTATTATTCTTGAAGGCATCATTTAACAATGTTAAATCTGAGATGCATGGCCCTACATGTTATCAGTGTCTGTGAAGTACTTGAACTTAATTTGAAGCCCTAAAACTAAAGTAAAAAATGATCATGATGTGCCTCAAAAAAGTAAAAAATCTTTGAGTGACTGGTTTTACCTTACTCATTTTCCCTAATGTTGTGAAAACAGTTTTTGAAGCTTCCATTTCCAATCATAAATATCTTGATAATCAGACAGACAATCGGATTGTAAAAGTCATTGTATTCCTGATTGCCCCAAATTATGTTTATAACTATGATTGCAGCATGTATAAGCTAAATCCAGGATTTCGTTTAGAATCTGAGGCAAAGATCCCCAATCCCTTTAATCGAAGGCGCTAGTGTATTTCCGCACTTACACTCGGTGTGCTTCATCTTTCACACACAATTCCTCAGTCCCACTCCATAGACGACTACTCTCTCTCTCTCTCTCTCTCTCTCTCTGCCTGTCTGTCTTTTATTTGCACTTAGTACTTTGGCAGTATAGTATCTCCGATAGAGCGGAGGAAGAAGAAGAAGAAGAGGAAGAAGAAGAAGTCCCAGATCCGGGTCCCAAATAATATGAATAATAGGAAGAAACAATGCAGTTTGTGACAAACTAGTAAAGGTTTTACCTCAAATTATTTAGAGGTAGGCTGATGACGTGTATGTAGGAGTAAATGGAAGGAGAAGGAGAAAACAAAGATGAAGAAGTAGAAGGAGGAGAGGGCAGAGAAACTGTTCAAACTCTCCAGGTAATTCTTTGCTGCAGAAACGTCATTGACTAGTGCAATTTTCAGCCCCAAAAGTCTATAAACAAGGCCCTATAGCTGCTACATTGGGCCATGCAACTTCAGCACTGTACAATAACTGTGGATAATTAGCAGTGAATGGTTGATAAAGTTTCAATAATTTCTTACAGTTGTGGTTTTTTTCTGTTGATTGTACATAAATATTTGTGTGTTTCTTTTACAGGATAACAAGGAAAACATTGAGGAACTTCGGCGGAAATTCTTTGAAGAGAATGCCCAAGGTATGACTATATACTTTTTAGTAAATGTTGTGTTTCACCTGTTGCAGTTACTTTTTCCTTATTTTGCAGACACATTTGAATGAAAAAAAGAAGAAAAAAAAACACAAAGTGAACATACCCCCTCCCCCTCCCCTAAATGGTGACATATTTGCTTTGGTAATATTTTCTCTCAGATTTTTATCCTTAAAGATTTAGGGTTAGGGTTATGATGGGATTTAGTTTTAGAGTTGGTGTTACTTGGGCTGAATTCAAGAATTCAAGTACTACTGTTCATGTAATTTACCACGGTGCAACTTTTGTCAGGACAGGTGTTGTACAATTAGAAAACGCTGATATCGGTTTTATCAATTACGGTAGTTTGAAGACATAAGAAATTTATGGACTATAAACCTAGACAAGAATTCTGTTTAAATCTTCTTTCAATTTCCAGTTTGTTATGAATAATTTCAGGCGTGTGAGGAAAATTTCGTAAACAATTGAATGCTTTCATTTTCACTTTAAAATTCCAAGTTACTGAAGGTACAAGGTACTTTCAATTTCAATTCATTTCATTTTGTATGACTTGCAATATTTTCAGTTTGTATGTACATATCTAGAAATGCCTTCTCTGCTACATTCCAGAAGGAAACCTTCTGTACGGTATGTAGTTATGGAGTTCTTAACAAAGTGAATTAAACTCTGTTGATAAAGAAATTATTTATAATATTTTCCTATAGGCAGGTCTTTTTTTTAGTTATGATACCATCAGTGTATTACAGGCCTGATAATTACCTGATTTTTCTTCTTCTTTTTTTCCCCTGATTCTTCCCCCCCCCCCCATTTTCCCTATTCTTTCCCCATTTTCTTACTTAAAAGGGGGGGGGGAATGTTTATAGATGCCTTTTTTTTAAATGTACTCGAGTACACATATATATTTTTTAATGGTCACTATCACCCCTGTTATTAATACATTAAATATGCTAAGACAAGCATAACCTGCCCAGGTTCTCAACTTCTCAGTAAGACGTGTTGCTCCGGGGATGGGGATTTGGCACTTAATCAAACATTTGTAGGTATGGTACATGTACTGATTTTATGTGCTATCATGATTTCTGCAATATAACACAGAATTTGCTCGAGTGACGTCAAGTTTTATTTAATTTTTTAAAATTCTGTTGACCATGGACACGTCTTATGAGGAGTTGATATCAATCGCAACTACATACATTAGAGATGTAGAGGTGTCATGGACGAGTGGATATGTCACCGGACCGTGGATCACAAGGTCAGCGGTTCAAGTCCCACCGCGGCACTAATGTCCTTTGGCAAGACATTGATCTACATTTGCCACTCTCCACCCAGGTGTTAAATGGGTACCCGGTAGGATGCGAAAGCTAATGTGCTTAGATTAGCAAGTGTGCGCTTGTAAAAATGACGCCTGGCTGGAATGCTCCCCAGGGAGTGGAGAATGTGCATACATTGTGTGCGGGTAAGCCTTGAATCCGATGACCGGGGTAATAGTATATATATATCTGTAAGGCGCTTTTCAGGAGGGCCTTTTCAAAGCGCCATATAAGAAATAGTTATTATTATTATTATAGGGGAGTGCAAACTTGCGATTGATTGGGGGACTTGCAATTGATTTGGATCAATCGTAAGTCTTTATGAGACGGAGCCCTGGTGGAACAACGTGGAAGATGACATTTTTTACATGATTTTCATTATCTTTAAAGATGACCCAGACTTTGACCCAAGGGATTTTGACTGGATCCGTAGCTCTGACGCCTACATGTACCATGTCCTTCTCATCGGTCAGATGAACCTCGATACAGCTCTAGATAAACTCACCAGGATCTTAAAATGGAGGAAAGAATATGGAGTGAATGGTAAAGTCAACCCTAAACGTTGCCGTTTTATTTTGTGATGCTACATTTGTATTAATGAAACATTGGAAATAAACTTTAAGATGGTTTCTAAATAATCAAGACCACATACAGTCAAACATATCTATAGCGACCGCCCAAGGGAAACACAAAAAGTAGTCTTTGTAGGAAGGTTCCTTTAGTACATGTTTCAATGAGAAACCATTTTCAAGGGAAACAAAAAATGTGGTCTTTGTAGACAGGTGGTCACTAAAGCAGGTTTGACTGTATGTGAAAAAAAGAAGTAGTCAACTCTCGTGTACATGCCTGATTTTTTATGAAACATTGAAAATAAATTTGAGCACGGTTTCTTAATTTTAAGACAACAAATTTGAAGAAAGAAAAAGAAAAGGTGAAATTCAACTCTCATGTAAAGCCTCACCTTTGTCAATGAAACCAAGAATGTATGATGGTCACACTGATTTGAAATGCATTTCATCAGACTTAAAACAATGGATGATGTGACAGTTTCAAGAAATCAATCATTCCAAATTTTATTTCATTTATTCAATTCATTTATTATTTCCTCAGGAATAAACCTTGTGTAGTTGTTTTCAGAGCTATGAGGGCATTGCCATGTCACTTGAAGTAAAGTTGAAAACGCCCTTAATTTTGTTTCACTCTCAGCAGGTGAAATTATACCTTCATTATAATTTCCAATAATGTCTATAATTTCATGTAGCACATACTGTTTAAAGCCTATCTGCACAAGTTTGGCCAGGAAGAATAATACCTCCCTGCGTAGTCACTGACAGGTGGTTATCTCATCAAATCAGCTCTCAAATAACATGAGAAAAAGGGGACAATGGGGTACCAACGAGTATCGCTTTGGCATTGTTTGCTATATAGAGGGGGCACGAGTAGCTACAAGTAGTGCAGTCCCACTTCAATAGGGTATGGTGATTAAGTATTCATGCAGTATATGTTATGTAGTATGAGAAAATGCCAGACGTGTTAAACGTGGAAATAATGAATTCTGTGTTTTAAAATGAAAATGACATGACCTTTTCCCCTTCAGATTTGACCCTTGACTCCTTCCCCGAGGATCTCCGGGAAATGGGAGGCGTATATCCTCATGCAACAGACAAGAATGGACATCGTATCTGTGAGTAAACTCATCAGAGTTAAACAAAATCAATAAATGTCCTTTATTTTATTTATTTATTTTTTATTTGTCCTTTTATTTTGACAGGGTAGCCCTTTCAGTTATAAAAACTGCTCGACCAAGGGGCCCTGTATCAACATAATCAAAAACATTTTTACAAAACATATAAACATACATAAGTTATAATGAACACACAAATTAAACAAGATAAAATATTGAAATAAATGGGGAGGGGGGGGGGGGGGTAAAATATTCATGTAAGTACTATTTTAAACTATGTGAGAGAAAGGAGTTTGCAGTGTTTTTTAAATGAATCTAGTGAGTTTAATACACGTAAAGAAGGGGGTAATGCATTCCATATAACGGAGCCTTGATAACAGAAAGATCTTTTGAAATACCCGGATTTGTGTTTTTTAATGAATAGAGGACATGTTTTGTGTTGTAAACTCTGGGTGCACAAGAATCATTCAAAATAACATTTAAGGCTCATTCAGATATGACTTGGTAAACGCAGATAACGTGTAAATTAATGGCAAAGTTGCGCAACAAAGGTCCTGAGGATACTCACATAGCCGAGTATAAATAGATACAGGAAAGTGAAGTGTGGTACATTATACGACTGCATGCAAAAAAATACTGTGGTTTTTAATTCAATAGAATTTTAAAAAAGAAAGTCGTGGTTGGAATTTTTTTGGGAATAATACTGGTAGAATGAGAAAGATTTTATGGAAAGTCCTGTTTATGCACGTAAATTAGCACTCCTGAATAACGACTCGTCTGTCATTTGATCATGTGATTACAAACAGGAAGTGAATAAAAACGCAGTGCACTCCAAGTCATTTAGAAACGTAGCTTGGATATTAGCCATGATGTGCCTGTAATAACTCTGTCGTGTGTCTCTGTCATCTTTAATTTGTGACATAAAAATGTGTGTCAGTAATACATTGTAAGTCGATTGCCCTTGAAATATCAACAGAGTAGATTTTGTCATGTTGTTGCATGTACATGCATTGTTGCCATGGAGATGGCCTATTCAAGTAGCTTTGAAATTGCTATTAAAGGTAAAGACCAGTTATGGTCATGCGATTGCATTGTGAAATCGATCAGAAAAGGTTGATCATCTAGCATCCGCATCTGCAAGGTTCTGGAATCATCAAAATGATAAGAAAATTGGCCCATTCTTCGTAAAGTTACAAGCACTATACACAGAAAGATGTATATGGGACTACCCTATATCTCTCACAGACCATGAGAGAAATAAATTTACCAAATATATCAATTAGTAGGCGGTTTCCCGGCAAATTTTTTATCATCATGTATTAGTCAAAACATATTCTTTCACATGATTGGTAATGAGAGCTTCCATTTCATTTTTTGAAATATGGGCATTTCCAATACTGGTCTTTACCTTTAAGTCGTATTACCGTAAGGAACTTCCACTCCAAAAAGATGAAGAGGGATTAAAGGTCTGTATTACACAAAGTAGGGTACCGGTAAATCTACCAGCAGTGCATATGTACTAGATGACTCAATGCATTGTGATGATGGGAATTCAACACAGAGCTATGTATCATGTACATGTATGTCTAGAAAAACAAAAATCATTCACTGAAGTGCTAACTACATCATCCTAGCTGTGAAGACATTCCAGCATTAACACCGCCCAATCAACATATCCTGCCTTAAAGACGCATAGTAGTTTTTTTTTCAAATTCAAATTTAAATTAGGTTTTATTCAATCTCTTCAAAAAGTCCAAAGACTAAAAATGTGAGTTTACATCATACAATTACATGTATATAAAAAAAGCATTCTAAAACATATATAAAGAAAAACATAGAAAAAGGGAAAAAATATATCAAAATAAATAATTAATTGGTTCTCATAGGGAATTCAATTTGACGCCTGTAATGCTCTGCATTTTCCACCAATCACCCCATATGGTAAAGTCATTATCTTACATTTCACTCATCAGAAGTCACTGAGAAACTGGGGGGTAAATCCTGATGGGACTATGGGTTGGCTGTGTGCGAGACTTGTACAACATTAATGGTATTTCCACCAAGTCTGGTGTCAGCAAATTATGACCTCGTACTGTACATGGACACTGACAACCATCTCCCTTTAACAAAGCAGGCTTACCATGTGGGATTGGGTCAAAGGTTAAGCAAGAGCCATATGGTTTTTCCTTTCATGTACGGTATGTGTAGGACATTTTCATTTTCACTGTTATTGTTCCATTTGAAAATCAAATGCTAAAGTCGCGCTCATGAAACAAACAAAAAAATAGATCATAAAATAGATTATAAACAAAGGAACAGCAGTAAGATAGAACATACAAAAATGACACATCAACAAATGATATGCCGAATTAAACAAAAAAAACGCTTTAAAATTATTGAAACCCTTCAACTGATGTGCTATTGTTGACAGTATGGTACCGGGTCAAGACCTACCAGAAGGGTCCAGAGAACCAGATGTGGGCCAAGAAGATGACCGTCTACTGGCTCAACAAACTCCAGAAAGAAGATCCAGAGCACAGGATAGTGGTCCTAGAAGATATGTCGGGTGCAGGGGTCTCTAATATGGTGAGTGAGTGAGTGATAGCGATCGGTTGCATCTGTCAGATGGTACTAAGTTTAAAGGATACCGATTGTCCTTTTCCTCCCTTTTGTTTAGTTGAAGGGGTAACCTGTGGTATTATCTAGCTCTCCTACCAACCAATAGTTTCCTTTCTTGTAAATATCTTTGAATGAAAATAATTGCTGTTTTGCTGTTGGTAGATAAATAAAAAAATAAAAATAAAAAAAACATTTGCTCTGTATTTTGTTAGGGGTTCCACGTTGCTATATCAAATAAAAAATACGAGCTTGACATATTACTTCTATAAAGAGGTATTACAAGACTAAGTAAACATAAAAGCAACTCATGAGCAGGCTTGTCGACACACCACCCATACAAGCTCGTGTAGAACAGGGCGCACATGGAACCGAAGTTACAGTAGTTCCATGTGCAGGGTTTTACGTCATCGTTTATTTCTTCATACTCTCAAGTGATGAACATTTTCCAGACATATGAGCACTCTTTTAGTCTGTACAAGGAAATGCATTGGTTATGTGATATCCTAACGTAATAGTCTTGTTATTTTTGTCACTGGTCGGAGAGACTTTGTCGCCTACACAACCGTTTGTATCTTGCTCTTCTTGTGTACATATATTATTACATCCTCATTCTAAATCATCCTTTATTATCTTTGCTATTTCATCTTTATATGCAGGATATAGATTTGGTTCGATTCAAGATTCAGTGCTTTGAGCTTTACTTTCCAGCTCTTGTAGGTAAGTGCCATCGAAAGAATCTTCAACCACAAGGAATTACAGTATGTCTCAGGGACGGTACTGTGGAATTGATTTATTGCCTTGTAGATCTGGGCCCCATTTCACAAAACTTGTCATCAGTGACAAATGACAGTTTTGTTATAAGCTAGTGAAATCCTTGCTTCTGATTTGTTATCAACATATTTGTCACTGATTTTTTGTTCATTTGTCATTGAAAAAAAGGCTTTGTGAAACGGGTCCCAGATCCAATCAATGTTTCTTAGACATATTACATTTCTATTGTAATGCTCACTATTATGTGTGTTAATAGTGCTTTATCTATAAATCATGCTGACATTTTGTCTAAACAGGTTATGTTATACTTTGTGTATTTGCATTATTTGTAATCTTATTTGCCTTCCATATTTTTTCTTTTATGCAGAGATGCTGTATATCTATGACATGCCATGGATACTTAATAGTAAGTATAATTTTGATATATTTTGTTTCTAGTTATTGCACGTTGACAAAAAATTAAAATACTATTGTAGGTTCAGTCTATTTGAATAGGGTGACTAATTACTTGTAATGGTCTAAATGAATCAGCCCTTTATTTTTAGCTCGGGATCCTTGATGGGCGCGTGCTGGGTTTGAACATGTTACCAAGTTAACAATGGTTGGCACGGTAGCCACCTGGCATGTACCCACCAACAATTCCATGCATTTCAACATGTACTTGGAAGTTGGTCATTTGTAATTACTTTAAGTACTTTTCCTTTCACTTTATGCCCGGAGCACTCGTGATACCGGTAGCCCTGCTAAAACTAGGGTAATGATATTGAAACGTTGTGAGTTCTATTCAGTGGCAGACACAATTCCTCTTTTTCCATTTAAGTACATCCCTCTTTTAATACAGAGTATTGTCGTACTATACTGGGGTGTGCAGGTGGACCACTACACCGGGGTTTTCCCCTACTCTTATACGAATAGTGCAGTGGGTTCTTAACGTGCAAAGGACATTTCTCTACACAGGGCCTCCATTTAACGTCCTATCTGAGGGACTGATTACTGACAATAATTCCTTTTTTCACAGCTTTGTGGAGGATCGTTGAGAGGTTGCTGTCCCAGCAGGCTAGAGATCATATCAAGTTTATCCGAGGGAAGGAGGTCCAGACGTACATCGCTACAGACTCATTACCAGCACATATGGGTGGCACAGTGAGTTCAGATTTAGTTTTATTTTGTTTATTTGGTGGTTGTTTGGAAAGCAGAGGTTTAATCACTCAAACATACTCAAACATATCTTGCATCTGCCCTGTACAGTGAGAAATCCCTTGTAGCTTCTTAATTTGATTAAAGATAGAAGATAGGAAAAACATATTCGAATAAATTTACGTTATGAAAATGAAAGAAATAGTCTTGTGATTTGATGAGATACAATAGTAATAGAAGAGGGAAGGACAATGCAAAAAACTGTATTGTAATGTCAAGGCTAGGCATAATGCTCATAATCATTATCGTCATCATCATCATTACCACCATCACCACAATTAATCTTTATCCTCATCATCACTTTCATCATTATCGTCATCATCATCATTACCACCATCACCACTATTAATCTTTATCCTCATCATCACTTTCATCATTATCGTCATCATCATCATTACCACCATCACCACTATTAATCTTTATCCTCATCATCACTTTCATCATTATCGTCATCATCATCATTACCACCATCACCACTATTAATCTTTATCCTCATCATCACTTTCATCATTATCGTCATCATCATCATTACCACCATCACCACTATTAATCTTTATCCTCATCATCACTTTCATCATTATCGTCATCATCATCATTACCACCATCACCACTATTAATCTTTATCCTCATCATCACTTTCATCATTATCGTCATCATCATCATTACCACCATCACCACTATTAATCTTTATCCTCATCATCACTTTCGTCATTATCGTCATCATCATCATTACCACCATCACCACTATTAATCTTTATCCTCATCATCACTTTCATCATTATCGTCATCATCATCATTACCACCATCACCACTATTAATCTTTATCCTCATCATCACTTTCATCATTATCGTCATCATCATCATTACCACCATCACCACTATTAATCTTTATCCTCATCATCACTTTCATCATTGTCATCGTAATCGTCATCATCATCATCATCATCATCATCATTATCATAATCATTGTCGTCATTATCATCATCGCTACCATTTTCATCGTCATGATCATGTTAATCATCATTATCATTGTCGCCTAAGGCTGTGCATAACAGTGTAATGAGGGACTTGAGTACACTCCCAGGCTTACAGGCGAATACTCAAATATTCGGACGCCATGATTTTTTTCTGAATTTTTTTATTTTTTGTTGTTTTTTGTTTGCCACCACCATACTACGGGAGAAGAAGTATCCCAAGTCCGTCTCCGAAAACTCAAGCGATTTTACTTTGAGTTGCAATTGAATGTAGTGATCTAATAATAATAATAATAGTAAACATGATGTTTTATAAACCAAAAATGACAGAATAATTTTCCTCCGAATCCAAACAGAAATCCGGACATTTGGTCCCAGTTTCTGAGTGGTGAGTTGACAGTGATTGAGCTGGGAAACATTTTTACCCGCGGTACCATGCCGGCGCTGCCTCAGGGGCACGGGTGAACGTCTGCCTGGACAGTGCCAGGCGCTGGCAATTTTTTTTTTTTTTTAAATGGCGGCCTAGTATTCAAGTACGAGAAATCGTACTTGATTAGTTGTTGACAGTGCGAGTACTCGAGTATTGGACTACCCGTCGCAGCCTTATTGTCGACTTCATCATCATTACCACCATCATCACTATTAATCTTCATCATCATCGTCATCATCTTCATCATTATCATCATCATCATCATCATCATCATTATCATCATCATCATCATCATCATCATCATCTACATCATTATCATCACCATCATCTTTATTATTGTCATCACTACCAACATCATCACCATCAATACAGGCCTGAGAATTACCTGATTTAAATCGTTTTTTTTCCGTTTTTTTTTTCTTTTTTCCCACCGATTTTTTTTTCTTCCCGAATTTACCCCTATTTTCCTGATTTTTCCAAATTTTCCCCAATTTTTCCCCTATTTTTATTTTTATTTTTCACTATCACACCTGTCACTATCACCATCACTGCCACTATCATCATCATCATCATTATTATCATCATCAATGTCATCTCTAACACCAGCACCATCATCATGGTCGTACTCAAACATGGTCATCATCATCTTTATCAACACCTAATCACCACTACCATTATCATTTTCAATGTTAAAGTACTTGCGTATGACATGGCACTTATTTCCTTGAGCAAGTCATTTCATCTCCATTGCTACTCTCCACCCAGTCATAAAATTGGTACCCGGTAGGATGCGAAACATCATTGCGTTTGGATTAACATGTGTGAGTCCATAAAAGGCGACTGGCTGGAATGCTCAATAGTGGAGTGGAGAGCGTACACTCTAAAAAGGCAGAATCGTAATTGGATCTAGTGACGGGGGTGATGATAATTATATTGTAAGTGGTCTGGTCAGTTAATGGGCAAAGCACTTCATGAAATACAGTCATTAAAGCCTGTCTGCACTAGTTTGGCCAGGGGGATTAGACCTCTTTGCAAGGTCACTGACAGGTGTTTCATAATATCAGCTCTCAATTAACATAAGAAAAAGGGGATCATGGGGGACCAACATGCACCGATTATAATAATATAATAATAATAGCCTAATAGTCCACTCCAAATTTTATTAAACCGAAACGGAAATTCTTTTTGCCCAATTGATTAGGCATGGTTTGCTATATAGAGGGCGCAAGTAGCTATAAGTAGTACAGTGGGGCTTTAAAGTAACATGCCTTATCTTCACTTTACCCTGTTAGGATCCCTATGAGTGGGTCTTCATCCCAGAGTTGAACGAGATGGAGGATGCGGAGGGGGAGGAGGAGGAGGAGGAGGAGCAGGATGAAGAGAGAGAAGAGGAGAGGAACGGTGGTGATGTGTCTTTCAGGTCAGTCAACGGGGATGCTGATCCTTCTCTCCTACCCATCGTCAATGCAGCTAGATCACTCAGACAACCCAGGCAACACAAGAAGGTAAGAGCTCTTGAGGAGTGAGGTGGGAGTGGAGATTGTGCACACAATGTGTGCGGGAAAGTATTGAATCCAATGAATCAGGTAATAGTATATCTGTAAAGCGCTTAAGAGACAACGTAGATGTATTAAGCGCTATATAAAAGCAGAGAAGAGTTCTTTCTCTCCATACCTTGGAGAAATTTGGGGACCTGTTTGGATGACGAAAGCCTCTGTGTTTGTAATTGCCACATGCCCTCATGGTGACCAAATGGTGGGTATATTCCCCAGGGAGTGGAGATGGTGCACATTGTGTGCCGATGGATCTGATGACTGGGTTAATCCATTTTTTTATTACTATTCTTTATCAGTGTATCTGTTCAGAGCCAAAAGGTTGCGAACTTTTAGTGAAAAAAAATATGAGTTAATGCCTTCTGGCTCCAAACAGACTGAGGATTTATTAATCTGAAGTAAATACCGGTATGGAGTAAACTGATTGTTTTTCATTCTCCCTCTTACCCCCCCCCCCCCCCCCCCCTCTCCCACACACATTTTAGATGCAGCATGATCACAAGAATACAAAAGTGAGAAACTTAGATCAAGACCCTAAACACCTGCCATTTTATTAATAATAAAATGATTTGTACATAGTATATTGAATATTCATTCGAAAATTAACATGCATCTATATCAGGACGACACCCCCCCCCCCTCCCTGAGACTATCACCCTTCCAACACACTTACCCCTTTAAAAAATGACCCCATGCCCCCTCCCCTTCCCCCTCTGATACGCGGTATAAAGTCCATTTGTAATCGTACATTGTATTTTCAAGATCAAGTCACAGTCGCTAACCCTTAGTATGTGGAGATAATGTTTGTGTAAACATTGTGGTTTGTAATCTTGCATGCTGTCTGAATTTCCGTCTCAAGATAATTGTGTGACATGGAAACTAGTGGCCTTGTTTTTATTGAGATGAATAGACATTGTTAATCTAACCCTCTGCCCTTGAAGAGTTATGTTTTAGTACACTGCACGTGTGAACACTACTCTGTTGCTAATCAAGATTTGGTCTGGGAAATTTCGGCACTGTTCACACAAGGTTTATGTATGCATTGTGATGAATACTGAATAGGCACATTTAGTTACACTATCATTATGAACATTATTTTTATTGGTCATGTCTGGACTTTGGGAGGTAATCGACCTTGTTCTTACAATTTTTACTTTAACGGATAGGAATATTTTATCAGTGTTATCACAATGCTTAATAAATGCTTCATTGGTATCATGTTGACCTGGGACCCATTTGCCTTAATTGTTTATACTTAATTGTTTATACTTAATTGTAAAGGTTCACAACTGAAACTATGTGATTAGGGAGCCAAGTGGTTTGGATGTCGTGATGTTGATTAGAGGTTGTTATCAGTTTTGTATAGTGGTGGTAGATACACGCAGATAGATATACACATTTTGTGATTGGAAAACAAAAGATTAAAAACATGGACGGTGTCGGTGTGTTGTCTCAACGCGTCTTTCCACACAATACAAAGCACGTAAGTAATCTGTAAATCTCTTATGTGACACATTTTTGATAGAGTGATAGATCAATTAGTCACTGAAACACTTAAAAATTATATCTTTGGCATCCAGGAAGAGGAAAGGGATCTGGGAAGAGGTGAAAACTAATTTGTAAGCATTATCATTCTTATTATGCAAGTGTGGAAGAACATCAGAGAAACCATGTTCCCTGAAAAGCATGGTTCTTCAAATGCTTCATATTCTAATTATGACAAGTAACAGCCTAAAAATGAGGCCTGATTGTGTAGTCCTGTATAATGTACATCTTTCTGTGTATAATGCTTGTAACTTTACCAAGACTGGGCCAAACTTCTTATCATTTTGATGATTCCAGAGCCTTGCAGTACACACCAATACTTAGATGATATGCTAGATGATCACCTTTTTCTGATCGATTCCACACCGTTTCTTTCACAATACAATTGCATGACCAGAACTCAACTTCATCTTTAAGTCTCATCAAGATTGTGTATGCATTTACAAGCTCTATATCCTAACCATGTGATTCTCCGTCTTTGTGATAAAATTACGATTTTCAACAATTATGCATTTTGCGTTCTAGATGAATCTTTTTGTGCCATTACATTTTGCTATTCAAAGCTACCATAGTCTCTTGCCTGCTGATCCCCCTGCATTGTCAAGCCCTTGTTGGATTTGCCGGAAGTCATGAATAAAGATGCGAATGTGATTAAGAAAATAGTGGATGGAAAGGAATTCATCATTTTCGTAATGTGATCAAATCTAATGAATTACGTTTTTGTGAAATGCCTCGATATGATTGAATTATTTAATTAAAATGTGTTACAATTTATTGTATTTCAATGGTAAGAATGAGAACTGCATACATTAGTTGTTGCTATGTTGGACAAACATTATGGCTTATTCATTACAGGTGAATACAAAATTAGTATTGAAGCACTTCACAAAGACGTATGCATAAATTTGGTTACATTACATTATGAAAATGGTCTATTAGGATCGGTATCTGTTTTGTAGCTCCCGAAATGGATACCGGTAATAAATGGATATACAAATTGTCAAAATGTGTTTTATTTCATCTTCTTTATCCAATGGTTAGCACTTAGAGACTTTGGTGGAGAGCGCTTTATAAATAAAGCACTGTTTTGTAATTATTATTATTATTATTAAGGCTCCAACTCGTTCTATGTAATGTGTAATTTAATTAACTTTCCTCAGTGTGCTAAAGATTGCAATCAGTGTATATCAATTATTATTAAAATGATTCCCCTCCCCCCTTTTTTTCTTGTTGTTCAGGTTCACTTTCAAGATGAGGATGATGGCAAGGAGAATGTCGATCCAGATCATTCATCCTCAGATAGAAAACCCCAGGTAAGTTGGACAAGAGCATACTTAGCCCTTCTGTTTTCCCATTCAGGAAGTCTTATTAACCTTTAAACTGCCATAAACTTTTTACTACCTGTGTGCGATAAAAAGGTAATGGCAGTTTAAAGGTTTATTCAATACAGGTAGAAATGATGTGGAGTCACTAATTGGCTTTTTGTATAAGTCAGAGAGTGATTCTATCATTCTGTTCATTCTTTATTATGAACTACCGGTATTGGTTTATTGAAATTTTTTATTTGTTGAAAAATTCCATACACGAAGAGTAAGTATGATATGTACAATTTTTGACTGCTTTACTTCTTTGTTTCCACAGCGAAAAGTTGGCAGCCACCATAAAAGAGGAAAAAATAAGGAGACTCATGTTGGACCATTAGTGACCATTAGGTAAGACTAAAGTATTTATCAATTAAAACTTAAAGATACATTGTCAAGTAAGGCAGTGATGAAGAGTTGTTCTTATGGCTGCATCATCATTATCACCAACTACCATCACCACAACCACCACCACCACCACCACCACCACCACCACCACCACCATCACCACTATCAACATAACCACAACCACAAGCACTACCAAGACCATTACCACAACCTCCACCACCATTATGACCTTCACATCATCATCATCATCATCATCACTATCATCATTATCATCATCATCATCATCATCATCATTATCATCATCTTCATCATCATTATCATTATCATCATCATCAACATCATTACTACCACTTCCACCACCATCACCACCATCACTACCACCACCACCATCACTACCATCACCACCATCACTACCATCACCACCTCCACCACCATCACCACCTTCACATCATCATTAGTCATTAATCTCTTGAGACTTTAAATGGGTAATTACTATCTCTTTTCTTTTCCTCCATCCTACAGGCCGGGTGAATTTCTAGTCTTTGAACCTCCTGCTAGTATATCAGGTTCAGAGGGTATCTCGGCAAGCTTAACCATCACTAACACCACAGCTAAGAAGGTCGTTTACAAGGTCAGTCACTCAGACATTTGCATACCTGTCTATAGAAAAGTGAAGCATAGTAAGCTTACGTAATCATTTGACAATATGCAAAGGTTTACTGCTACAGATCTGAACATCGCTTAACTGGTAGTTGTGACTAGGGCTCAAATTAATTTTTTGTCCACGGGGGCTCTTCCAAAAAAAAAAGAGCCCCCGTGAGCCTTCTCACGGGGGCTCTTTTAGTGCTGACGGGGGCTCTTATTTTAATACAAATTTCCATTGAATTGGTACCCATGAAACTCCTAAATTCCTTGGTATTTTATCATTATCATTTATTTAAGTCGGCAATTTCCCTCTTAGAAATGTATTTGTTACATAGCTGTTATTGACTTTTATCCCCGTGATGACATTCTCTCCATTTCTTCCCGTTCTGCACATAATGTCCTCCTCATTATTCGGAGCAACCTTATTTACATTCTTTCTTTACTTTAAGTCTTTACCATATCCTTCCAAAACACAGGGGCGGATCTAGCTTTTTGCTAAGGGTGGGAGGGGGTAACCCGAATGCGATGCAGAGCATTGTCCACGAGCCGCATAGCGGCGAGGCGATTTTTGTTGTTGCTATTTTGAACCCCCGTAAGTGATGTTTACATTGTCCACGAGCCGCAAAGCGGCGAGGCGATTTTTTTTTTGGTGCTATTTTGAACCCCCCTGTTTTCCTGGCATCTACTGACATCTTCTAATACTATGTAGGTCTGGACACATGATAGCATTTTCTATGCACATCACATTTTCACTTGGCAGCCCAAGGGGGGGGGGGGGTTAAACCCCCTAAACTGCCTATTTCCCCCCCCCCCCCCTCATGCAACATCTTTGGTGATCTTCTTCTCAATATTGATTTACTGGTCGAGTTACAATATTTGTTGGTCTTTTAGAATAACCAGATTTCAGAGAATTCACACTTTTCACAACGAAAAACTTCTCCATGTCCCAGCGCGATCGTCTCCAGCTCCAGCAGATATTGGGCGTCAGCGGCGTTACACCGGCACTACCGGCGCAGTATAGCCACTACTGACGGCCGCACTAGCTGCACTGCGAGCTTCCGTTGTTAATGTATCGGTAATTACTCATAGCGATGGGAGAGAAAGTGCCATTTAAGTTCCATTTCATTGGTTTAAGGTTTGAAAATTGATACTCAATATTGTGTTAAAGTTATATCAGAAAAGATAATCTTTATTCCACGGGAGCGATTTTTAATTTTGCAATCGCCCCCGTGAGCAACCTGACGGGGCGATTATGGAGCTCACGGGGGGGAATCGCTCACCGCCCCCGTGTATTTTGAGAGCTGGTTGTGACTAGAAGTTGTAACCTAAATGTTTTCTTTATAAAACCATTCTATATTCTAATGAGTGTCTGTGAAGATGGTTACCAAAGGATTTCATCTACATGCCCACAAAATGATTGGTTAGTTTGTTTTATCTGACTGCTAAGAAAGCATGTGTTTGCTTGTAAGTAAGCAACCAGGGGACCAACAGTTTTAAGTCCTCTGAGGGACCTGGCAATGAGGATTAGTGCCTTTAATACCAAAGGGCACTAGTCCATCAAATTAGCTTCAAACCCAGGATCTCATGGTTACGAGACCACTGGTCTACCACTGAGCAATCGTGCCTGGTTGACAAGGCTCCTCTAATAAGAGCGTAGAACTGTTTATAATATGACCGTTTGCTCATTTTTTTTTCTTTTTCAGATGAAGATAACCAATCCAGAGAGATATAAAGTAAGACCCAGCATAGGACCTATTAATCCTGGTGCATCAATACACATCACTATCACACTACTCTCAGGTAAGACTACTTAAAGACCCCTTTGGAATTGAAAAATGAAATAGACAAATTATACAGTGCGTCCCAGAAGAAACGAAACTGAGACGTATCGATGTTCTATCATAACTTAATCAAAACTATAATTAATGAATGATATATATTTGGAAAGCTTAGAGTCTCCTCTTTCAGTTGATGCTACTCAGATAATGCATATTTCACGCATGAGTGATTAAAAGCAATTTGAAGGAAGGAAACCAAAAAGGCATTTGGCGGGCCGTATCTGAATTTCGAAGAAAAATTCACATTTCTAGAAAGTTGAGTTTCTGCCCTTTCATATGACACCTCAATCAGGAAAAATGAGCGAGGAATGACAAAGTTCTGTTTGTTTAAAGTGGTGCTTGCATTTCCATAAACGAATTCGTTTTCACTGGCTGCCTGTCGTATTAATAAACAAAATTAACAAAAGACTTAACTCCGTTTCGTTGACAATCAGCCATGCATGAAGACTCTTGTCTACGGCTGATTGTCAATGAAACGGAGTTAAGTCTTTTGTCAAATCTGCTTTTTACTACGGCAGGCACCCAGTGAAAATGAATTCGTTTGTTAAAATTATAAAAATATAAGGGCTACTTTAAACAAACAGAACTCTGTTATTCCTGGCTCATTTTTCTTGATTGAGGTATATGAAAGAGCAGAAAATGAACTTTCTAGAAATATGAATTTTTCTTTGAAATTCAGATACGGCCCGCCAAATTACTTTTCGGTTTCCCTCCTTCAAATTGCTGTTAATCACTCATGCGTAAAATATGCATCACGTGAGTAGCATCAACTGAAAGAGGAGACTCTAAGCTTTCCAAATATGTATCATTCATTAATTATGGTTGTGATTAAGTTATGATAAAATATTGATACTTCTCGGTTTCGTTTTTTCTGGGACGCACTGTATATTGACGGAAAGCTTATAAGTGTTATTAGTGTCTGTTAGAGGAGTAATGGCTATCTGAAAACTTGAAATCCAATGCTTTGAAAATCAGAAGTTGTTGCCCTAAGATCTAGCTATAGACTTGATGACATATACGCAAATTCAAAACGAATTTGCATTAATTGAGTCAATTCATCGCACCAGCTATATAGACAAGCCGATCGGGTCCACACATTATGTCGGCAAATTCGACCCCTGTTGACCCGTAATTTGCTTTCAAATATCTGTTATTCCTTTGTATTTGTATTCTACGCTCATTCAGCTTTTCATTTATATAAAGCTGTATTTTTATCGGATAGGGTATTTATTAAGGTGCTGTCTAGCTGTACATGCAGGGTACAGAACAAATGGGAGGGGACCTCGCAAGATACGTCAAGGAGTTGCCAATTTGCATTTTATTGATTGGAACTCGCAGGCAATGCTGCCGGCGACAAAAAAAATCTAGGATCTCCCTCGGATTTCATAACTTTCATATTTCAATCAGAATTTGCTCAAATTTTCACTAACCTGTTCCTCTCACTGTTCTGCTTCTATAAAACCAACTTAATACCAAGTTGAACTTCCCCTTTGAATGTTGTTTTTCGAGGAATCCATTGACACACTGTGCTTTTATCCTTATTTATTTTAGGTCCAGGAGAGTGTGTGGTGAGAGACAAGTTCCTGCTCATGAGCAGCGATCCAGGGGATTTATCGTTCAAAACCAACTCAGAGATCATCTACTACTGGAAGAACGTCAAAACAGAAGATATCATTGAGCATAGGTAAGACCTTCAATCAACCAATCAAAAAGATATTTGAATTGGCGCCCTTTCCTTGCGGTTACAAAGCGCTGCACATACTGCTCCACAATGTTTGGGCCACTTCGGGGTTTAAGGTTGAACATTTGTGCCGCAGACGATAAAATGGCACGTACAGATTTCTTTTCAGTTTGAAAAAGTTCAAAGGGCTTGTATTTTTAGGCATTGGTACTCAGTTGGTAAATTTAGTCTTGTTTCAAGGCCTGGTCACACAGAGGGGACGCATGGGGGACGCACGGCCAGCGCATTGGACATTTTGAATTTTGGCCAGTTGGTTGTCGTTCGCTAGGTGTGCGTCATCATTCGTTACTCGTTCGTCAAGCGCGCTGGACCAACGCTGGACCAACGCTATGCATTCGTCGTCATTCGCTGTGTGCGTCAGGATTTTTTGAGCATGCTCAAAAGTGTGCGCGGAGCTCGACGCATGAATGTACATGCCAAAGGGACGCCAGACATGCGCGGAGCGGGCTAGACCAACGCCAGACCTACGTGGAGCACACACCCTGTATGCGCGCTAGCAACATGCTGTACATTCGGTGTCGGCTCGCTAGCTTCTCCCAACTCCTGCCAAAAGTTTGAATCACAACTTTGTCCGATTTTCAATGCGCCAGCCGTGCGTTTTGCCATGCGTCCCCTCTGTGTGACCGGGCCTTCACCTATTAAATTGCTTCTCATTAGAGTTATATTAATATGATATTGTATATTGCTGTGCAGTACCTTTCAAAGCATTCATTGTTTAGTAGGGTCTAGAGCGTCATATAACATGTAAAATCTTACTTGGCCTTGAGGGAGTATTGCAAGTCAACGATGGTGAAAGGGTGATACACCAAAGATCAAAGATTAATTTCAATGATTGCAATAGCAGCACTGTGGTTCATATTCTGCATCTCATAATAAAAAAACAAACATGCAGAATAATAAGAAGACACTTCATCTACTTTGAATACAAATTAGGAGGTGATATTTTAGGCAAGATTGTTATTATTTCTATTTTGTGTGTGATTTTGTCAGGATGAGCTGTATATTCAATCCCTTGATGACCAAAAAAGGAGAACCATTGCAACAGACTGACAAGAACATGCAGACTGTCCTAAATAAGGTGAGAACAACAAACTTATTAAAGGAAGATGGTTGTCAGTTTCCATGTGCAGTAGGTCACAATTCGCTGACACCAGACTTGTGGAAATACCATTGATGGGTGTACAAGTCTGCACAGAGCAAACTCAGAGTCCTATCGAGAAATACCCCCTAGTCTCTCTGAGAGTCGTCATTTGAGGGAAATGTAAGATGACTTTTCCATGTGGGGGAATGGATAGGCAATGCAAAGCATTACATTAAACTGAACGCTAATCCTGGTATTGACAATAGGGTAATGACCTGAATGGTGTCAAATTCCCCATGAGAGCCCACTATGATGCGGCTTTAAACCCATTATGTTTATGTTGAGAAAATAGTATAGATCACAGGGCTCTATATTGTAAACCTTGACTCATAGGGAAAGATTTTTTGACATATATGTTAACAGAATTTAATATAAGGTAGTAGCAATTAGAGAAACTGTAGCCGAAAAAGGCTGCGATTCTTTGGCCTCGTTACAGGATGAGACCATCACGATACCCAAAGATACTCCTAACTTCTAATATCCATGGTGATAGACCCCGGGGTAGACCAGCCAAGAAATGGTTAGATTGTGTAAAGGCCGATTGTGCTACTAGATGTCTGGGATCCCTCACAGAAGCGACCAGAATAGGAAGATCTGGCTTGAGGTCATGAAGCAGAAGCCATCACACATCTCCCAAAAGGTGTGGAAGGCTTAGGTCAAGGTCAAGGGGGTCATGTAATTACAACTTTTAAAAAAAATCAAGATATTGAACAAATTAAATAGTGAAGGTTGAATGAAATTCCAAATTTTGTTTGATGAAAGTGTGTTCAAAAGTGGATATAGAATTATAGCAGGATTTCATTTTATTCTATTTTTGTTTAACAACTATTTGATAACTGTGTATATTAGGGAATTTTGTATCAGAATCTTTGAATTTTGGAAGTTGAATTTGTAGATGATGCATACATATACGAAGGAAAATACTTTCCAAACCATCTTATATTTTGACAGTTAAAATCCATGGAAGAGCAGATGTGCGAGTTAAGGAGAGAGAATTCCAAGATGATTTGGTTACAACGTCTTCTCTTCCTCATCATCACGTTAGTCTTCCTCTACACCTTCATCTTCAAACCCACGAGGGCGCTGTGCTGACTCCAGCTCCTTCATCACCTTGCATCGAGGCCACCGAGAATTCTTACGAGGAGCAAGAGAGGGCTTGTAATCGAAAAAGATCTTAAAGTTGACCTTTGTTATTGAACTAATTCAAAGAGAGTGGGAATGAAAGTGAGAATGAATGTTTGAAAGGATGGAAGGAGATTCATAGTGAGAGAGGAAAATAGAATGAAAGGGAAAAAGAGAGATTGTAATGCCAAGTTCTATAACTGAGTGTTAAATGTACCCAGAAACAAGCCCTTTACATCGGTCAACAAAGAAAAAAACATTCTCCCACTTTGTAGGAGTTTTTGAGCCGGCACTCTGAAAAGTTGTTTTTAATTTTTGGAGGTCTTATTTCATTTCACTGAAAAGGCGGGACAAACAAGTATTTTGCAATGCAATCTGTAAATCATTGTACCATGTTTGTATTTCTCAATATTCAACTGCATATTGAACTCTTTAAATATATGCAGTGCCAGCTTAATTCTTGGATTGCAGAGATGTCAGTTTTCAGTCTTTTACCCCAAATCAGGCTTAATCGCCTCCCCTTTTTAGGCCAGTTCAGAATGAACATCGACAGAAAACTTAGGATTTTGACACATCTGTATCTCCTTTCGGGCTCATTTTGAGCCAGATGTGATCTTTGAAAGATTTGGTCTTAAATTTTTCTTTGTAAAAGGGGCAACCGGTTTGATAAAACATGAGATAACTTGGGATGTCATCTATCCTTCTATCTATGTCCCATAGCTTGCAGGCCTTTGGGGCAACAATGAAATGGACTTTGAGACACAGGTTCTCCATAACTTCCTGTCTTCAGCTGTTCTCGTTGGTTGCTCAGATGATATGCCCGTCCACTGCTTGATGTTATTAGTCCATGGGGGTGTTTCACAAAGACTAAGATTTACTTTTAAGTTGGACTTAGCTATGGCAAGCTGTTCATGCCACTATTTTCTCTCATCATTTACTGGCATTGGTTTCTCAAGGGACATACCAATCATGGTCACAAGTCTACAGAATTTACATTTTTTGATAGTTTATTATTGAAGGAAAAAATATTATCTTAAGGTCATAATTGAGAGACCAATGCTAAGAGCAACCAGCGGCATGAACGGCCTGCTATAGTTGAGTCAAACTTAAAGTCGATCTTAGTCTTTGTGAAACCCCCCCTATGTCCCAGCTGGTCCACCCCTCTTGTCATGTGGAGTGGAAATCAAATTTAGTGGGTAAAGGATAATTTGACTTTTATAGAAATCATGGTCCTTAATTTGTTTGATAAAGCTAGGCTAACAAAATCTCACCATGGATGTAAGCTTTGAAGTAACATATTAGGTGAATGATCAATTCTATAAAGTATTTTTTTTTTTTATTTTTTTTTTTTATAAATTTGACAATCTAAAGCATTATTTTATTGAATTGAATTGAATTTTATTGACTTCCTTTGTCAATATATTTGTTTTAAGAAACACAAAATACTGATCGATATATATTGCTCTTTTAGTGGACCATGCAAGATATTTGATCAATAGAATTCCATGCAAGACAACTAGTATTAATATAACCCATGTTGATCGTGTTATTATATACCGAGTTATCTTGTACTATTGAGTTTCCCAGTGTGTGAGAACAGAGTACAAGTGCCAATTACTGTCAGCCATTTAAAAAAAACGTTTACAATTTTTTTGTTGTATGTAATTCAACTTGGGTGTGTAACCATTTATAATTTTTTAAAGTTCTATTATGAATGCCATGTGATGCAATAATTATTTTTCTAACTGCAGTAAATATTTTTATCATTTTTTATATTCATTTTGCAGAGGTATTATTGTCTTTTGTAACGCAGTAATAGAAAAGAATCTGAAATTTATGCATGCTCCTTCACTTTGGAAGATTTTGATAATGTACTTTTTTAAATAAGATATATTTTGTATTATTTCATTTTATATTTGAGTTATGATTAGTATGATACCTTTTTCTATTTGGTTTGCTTGTGTGAGTGTAGTAAACAGCCATGTTGGTGCATGTGGTGCAACTTATTTATATAATTATTTTAAACCTGAGTGGATGCATGTCTCGACTATCTGGGGCATTATTCTGAAAGCTCGCTTAGTGCTCAGTTAGCAAATCGGTATTCTGATAGCTCACTAAGTCCCCATTTGCCCATTTCATTACGAATGTGCTTTCAGAATACAGATTTCGAGGTTTTTGAGCACTTGATTAACTTAAAGACTTAAAGGGAAAGCTGAGTGAACTTTTGGAATACCCTCCTTGCTAACTATACATTTGGAAAACTGTTGTCTCTGTTAAAAAGTTTTCTATGTGTTCTCATTAATCAGATGTATATGCTTATAGTATATTAGTATTTTATCAAAAGTTCTTGTAGCTCTGTCCTCTCAAGTTGTTGCTCTTGCCATTCTTTAATGTGTTATGTAACATTCCATGTCGGATATATAGGGATCCGGTAGTTTTTACTTGAATTTTGTACTCAACTTACTATGCTATTACAAATACTGTAAACCAGAAACTCGACAAATTGCATGAAAATTTCGCAACTTTTGTGAGCAGTCAAGATTCTTTAAAGTTTCATTTGTCATAAGTTATGGAAATTTTGCCATGAAAATGGCTGTCATTAACTAATTGCATAAGGTTAATGTCATGAAATTTTCTGGTATTACAATTGTCTATATTACAGAAGGTTTAGAAAACTATTGGCTTGTTCTCAGTCAGTTTTCAACATTCAAAATGATTAAAAATAAACTTGAGTTCTGGTAAAAAAAGAGAATTAATTGTCACAGAATCTAACGAAACTTACACTGAATGTTCAAGATTACAAATAAATGTCATGTGCCAAACAATTTTGGAAGAAAATGTATACTGGCTGAGTAATGAGCATAGAAAGATAAGGAAATCAGGGTAGTACTAGCCCCGACACCATGTGTGTTGTCCCATATACATCTTTCTGTGTAAGTGATTGTTACTTTACCAAGACTCTGCCAAATTTATGATGATTTTGATGACTCCAGAACCTTGCATTACACACCAATACTTACATGCTATATGATCAACTTTTTTGATCCATTCCACACCTTTTCTTTCACAATGCAATCGCATTACCAGAACTCAAGTTTATCTTTAATCAACCCTATCAATAACTACTTCTTTCGTATCAGTTGTGTGGTATATCTGTTATGAGTTAGGATGATAGCCAACTGCCCCATCTACTTATTTTCTTATATCCATCTCTGAAACCATCAATATCATCTGTGTACATACAGATGTTGTAGGAAAAAAAAAAAGGAGTGTTCAATCCCCCCCCCCCCCCCCCCCCCCGCTCTTATTCACCGGCTGACTGATTCGCCGCTAGATATTTTCTCACATATTGGGCAAAAAAACACCTCCCCTTAAAAAAATCCTGGCTACGCCCTTGTTCAAATTCAATGCACAAATCTTTGTTTAGCCCCGATTACAAATTATTTTATTCACCTGTTACAAATAAATGTATTTCAGAAGTCAGAATTTGAATGGACAAGTTATTGTGTTTAAGCTTCCTCACATTAATTAATGTATGCAATTTGCATTCTGACTATTGAAATACAGATATTTGTAACAGGTGAATGAAATAATTTGAGGCACTAAACCAAGATTTGTGCAGACATTTGATTATATTCCAAAAATGGTCTATGACAAATTGTTCTATTCACTTAAACCTGACCCTGGGTCTATTCAAGTTTATATATAAACAAAGGAAAACTCAGATCTCCGCCAACTTCTGGTTTAAATTTTAATACAATACCGGCCAATGAGTCTGTATTGTTTGTTTGTTTTAGATGCCTAAGTAGGTTCACTGATTATATTGCAATATAGTAATGATGTGATGTTTGATTGTATAATATGGAAGGAACAATTAATTTTGTTTGTGAAACTCGATAAATGAAATATTGATATTGTATATAAATTGTACTATATCCAAAGCTAGTATTTTTGTAAAGATTTGCAAAGTGAAATAAATTTATGATGATGAACCTGTGCCAAAAAGTGACTGGTATTTAGCCCAGGGAATAGTTATTTCTAACAAGACTATAGTGAACAATAGGCTCTCAAGCTAGAGTGCACGTTTTCAATGGGAGAGCTATGTATGTGATGTGTGCTTTTCAATGGGAGAGCTATGTGTGTGATGTGTGCTTTTCAGGGGTACCTTATGCAAGGAGCTATACATGTACTATGTGAAGTGTATGTTGCAGGGGAGAACAAATTCAGCACTGGTCAAGGCAGGACCTGTATGCTGAGTGCATGTGAGAGGAGCTAAGCTAGGGTGCGCAGCATTGATCTTATTTTTATGCCATCTTGGAAATCCAGGCAAGCAGGCCAGGATCGAGAAGACTCCTCTACAGCACCCAAATGTGTTTGAAACCTGTAAGTGACATTTGTTGTATTCTTTTTCATATCTTTATCCATGTCTTTTTGTGTTTGGTAATGTCACAAAACAGGGTGTGGCATAGGTAGGGAAAGGCTACATAAGTATAATGGGGGTTAAGTGTATTATGAGAAAGCATAGCATTTTAGTATTTTTTCAGCAAAGCATTGGAATCGATCATATATTTGGAGCATTTTTAGGTAGGCTAAAAGAGGCAGTTATGTTGTTTTTTTTCTTTCGTAAAATGGAAAAAAAGATATGAACTTGACCAAATTATAAGTAGTGTGCATTCAGGCACGGATCCATGTTGGGGGGGGGGGGGGGCTGGCAAAAAACGAGTGATTGTAATGTTAATTATACCTTTTGAAAAATATGAAAAAGGCCCGGCTGGCCCCCTGCAAAAAAAAGAAAGAAAAAGAAAGGTTTTTTTGTTTTGGTTTTTTTCTCAAGGGGGGGGGGGGGGGGGGGGGGGATGGGTCTCAAGAAAAAAAGGAATATTCACTTCCCCGTTGAACCCCCGCAAAAAAAAGTTTGTATTCACTCACCCCCCCCCCCCCCCCCCCCCCCCCCCCCCCCCGCCCATAGAAAACACCGTCATGTGTCCAGACCCACACAGTATTAATAGATGCCGGGAAGAAAATAAAATCACTTATGGGGATTCAAAAAGCAAAAAAAAAAAATCAGCTCGACACTATTCGGCTCGTGGGCGATTAGTAGATGCAGATTATTTCATGAAATGTAGAAAAATGACACTTTTTGACAAAAATAGCAAGGGGTTAGCCTATGATTTTTGGCCAAAATTCATGAATTTTCAAAGAGCCCTATTTTCATCTCTAGAAGGTGTCCATGATCCCTGTCTATTCAAAATATGAAATTGCAGATTATTTCATGAAAGGTAGAAATTTGACACTTTTCGACAAAGATGGTCCAAATTCATGAATTTTCAAAAATGCATATTTTCATATCTTTTCATCTCTAGAAGGTGTCAATGATCACTGTCTATTCAAATTATGTTATTGCAGATTATTTCATGAAATGTAGCAAAATGACACTTTTGACCAAAATAGCAAGGGGTTAGCCCATCATTTTGGCCAAAATTCATGAATTTTCAAAAAGCCCCATTTTCATATCTTTTCATCCCCACAAGGTGTCAATGATCACTGTCTATTGAAAATATGAAATTGCAGATTATTTCATGAAATGTAGAAAAATGACACTTTTTGACCGAAATGGCTTAGCCCATCATTTTGGCCAAAATTTATTAATTTTCAAAAAGCCCCATTTTCATATCTTTTCATTCCTAGAAGGTGTCAATGATCACTGTCTATTCAAAATATGAAATTGCAGATTATTTCATGAAATGTAGAAAAATGACACTTTTTGACCAAAATGGCAAGGGGTTAGCCTATGATTTTTGGCCAAAATTCATGAATTTTCAAAAATGCATATTTTCATATCTTTTCATCTCTAGAAGGTGTCAATGAACCCCTGTCCATTCAAATTATGTTATTGCAGATTATTTCATAAAATGTAGAAAAATGACTCTTTTTGA